TTGACACGACCACTGCCAACTAGATTATAGGTTCTACCCTACTTCCTTTCATCAGAATTGCTCTTAGAGCTAGATGTCATCAGTAGCATGTTGTAGCTAATGATATAAACAAGAACACACATGTAATCAGAGCTGGGCAAGTCTTTGGAAGCTCCCTTAACTGGTTAAAATTAAAAAAACAAAACAAAAAAAAGTCAGATCGGGAAAGACGTCGAAACCAACATGTTACTCAGCTTCAAAGGTGAAACCAAGGATGGTATCCATTTTAACATCTTATAAATGGACAAATCTAAAGCTCATACAGACTTTTTTAAAAGGCCACCAGACAGTATTACTAGTTCTATAAGGAACTGGGAGCTATAGATTATGAATACATGTGTAAATTTTCCCCATTCAAGACTAACTGCTTTACAAAGCTGTCCTGGGATTCAGCTGCTCCGATGTTAGGAAACTAACCAGGCCCACCACCACTCAACCTCATTTCTCACTTAACTCTGTTCTTCTGAAATATTACCATTAGTATTAATTTTCTGAAATGTTATTTAGCAGATCACACCAGCACATTGGAACCTTCAGCTTTTGGCAGGTGGCCTTACTGTGCAGAAGTTATAGATAGCATAGGTGACATTCCCCTTCCCATGAGAACTATGCATGTTACAGTCAGCCACATATCCATATACATACATATACATGCACAAACACATTAAAAACATCTAAGAATTACATAAAATTGTACATTACATGAAGAACCATAGAGTATACTAAAGGTAAGTACAGAGAAAATGCATGCGGAGAGAGCCCGGTGAAGTACAGAAACCGTGAGATACATAATTTTATTTTAAGTTTATATTTCCTGCAGGACAGTAAGATATATCTTCCCCTTCCTAGAGACAAATTTTCTAAAAATTTGGACACCGCCCACTGCATTAAATTTAAATTAAAATGTTCCCTACATATATAGACAGTAAAAATAAGCAAAAAAAAAACAAAAAACAAAAAAAAAAACACATTCGTTTTTTAATATATCAAAATGTTTCCAAGGCAACATTATTAAAATGATCATACCACAGTCCCTAATACAACCTCAAGCTCTAACAGGAAGGTATGGAGGGCGCAGAAAGGTTTCATCCAGTCGCTCTTTTAGGTGCTCTTCTTTTCTTCGCCTAGTAGCTTTCTTGGCTTCTTTAGTGATGGAATCTGCAGTCTCTTTGGCTTTGGCTTTCAGAGTCCTCATCACACCATCTACCTGGTACTCGTGCTTCAGGAAGAAAACACGGATGATACGCTTGTAGGGCAGTTCAACCCCATTACAAGGGCTTGGTGCCATGCACCACACCCGGAAGCCACACTTCAGCATGTAATAGAAGGGGAACGTAACAGGAAGAGATCAGAGAAGAATTCGGCAATGCTGAACACACCATACGCTACCCCGTAGGTCAGCCCCTGGGTATCATCTTCTTTGTTGGGACTCTCTATGGCTTTAATTGAGATGTAGGCAGGTTGCAGAGGAGAGAGGCTCCATAACCGAACACCAGGTACAAGGCCATGAGCCCGATGATACGGAGCGCGATGTAGCTCCGGTTCACGCCAGTCTTGGCCTCGAGCTTGGCCAGCAGGTCGGTCATGCAATTATTTTTGTGCAGGAACTGGTCGAACCTTTGCCTCATGGTCACAGACATAGCGGGGACCGTCGCACCGCTGCCCGGGGCTGCTCCTAGTGCCGGGCGGACGCAGAGCTGGACTAAGCTGTGTGTGAATTTTTGAATGAGAAGCTAATTTGTGCTGTAAACTTTCACCTAAAGCACAATAAAATTTTAAAAAAGTAGATCGTGATTCACTATATCTAGGGTGGAAATGCAGATTCTCAGCTGCAGTTTGAACTAGAATGAACAAGTTTGAAGCCCTTCCCAGAAATTATTACATCAGTGGATTTGAGTAGTGTAAGGGGTCATTGGTGGTGGATTCTGTGGTGTGCTGCCCAGACTCCCCTCCCAGGACTCACATGCTCATTCCCCAGCTGCTGGGAGTGTTGTCAGCCAGCAGGTCTCACCTGAGTTTCCTTTGTAGGACTTGCCCTCCGTTGATGAAAGCTGCCTTGCCCAGCGTCATCCCCCATTCCTAGCAGCAGCCTGCATCTGATGACTGGTTGAGGTGGGGGTATGAAAAGCTGGCCATTCGCCCCAGTTTGGGTTATCCTAATTCTAAAGCTTCATACGGGATTGGCTAAGACCTTTATTGTGACTATATCACAGTTTCAATTCTCCCTCTGCCCAGTCTTGCTTCTGCACTCACCAGGGCACTTCTGCATGCAAATCTCCGTCTAAGAGTTTGCTTCCTAGAAAAACTAATTGGAGACATTCCTGGTTCCTGGATGGGGTCTGTGTGCCATGAGAAGCCTTAAAAGTCTTCAATGCTTTGTGCCCACAATTTCATACTCCAGGGACAGATGATAGTGTGCCCAGCTGGAGGTGAACTGGGTACAGGAATCCCTGAAAGAGGAAAGAAAAAGCTTGGCAGAGGGAATGCGAGCAAGTTCTGTTCAGGCTTTCACAAATGGAGGGTAACTCCTCCCCATTCCTGGTCCCATCTTCAACATTTGCCTGACACGAGAGTCCCTGTTGACTTTCACTGAGCTATCTTATGGCCATCCACTGCTAGTACACGCCTCCTGGACTCTGATGACATTTGGAGGCCTATCCCTGAATGGCATTTAGGGTTGAAGTCTGCTAGGCTATAGGAGAGGCAGGGAGGCTTGTTGTACCTGGATATAAATTAAATGAGCCCAGTGATTGCTGTGATGGGAGCCATACTGTGGTGGCCACTAGAAGTTCTCTGGTGACTCCTGAGCCCATGATTCTACTTGAGGTTGTCATAGAAAAGCCTTCCAGAAAGGCTCAGTCTGAGTTAGAGAAGATTTGCCAGTTACTTTGGCCCTTGTCTGACTTGAGAGTGGGTAGAGATAGTGATGTTTTCCAAGAGATAATGCTCTCAGAGCAGGAGATCTTGTGGGGTCATCTGTCAGATCACTTAGTTTCTTTCCTAAAATATATTATTATCTCATATTATGGATGGAGTAACTGAGGTCCGAAATAACACAGTGAGGAAGACCAAGTCTAGGGATAAAACTTAGGCTACCTGCCTCCCAAGCCACGGTACCCAGCCAGGCTCTTCCTAGTGCTGCATGCTGCCATTTGATGAGAAACTCTCAAGTTGTAAAGCTGGCATGTAAGGGAAGAGTGATGGAAGGAAGTGAATTTTCTGAGTCTAAGCAGCCACCCTTTAACTGCAGGTTTGTAGAGTTTGGGAAGAAGTTTCCACGTCACCAGTCCTACTCCATCCACAACATTCAACATGGCACCCAGCTTTGCCCCGTTCTTCTTGCGGTTGCCTTCTCTTCTCCTGTCCATCAATGCTCTGGTTCCATCCTCTGTTACCTCTTGCCTGTACGTTTCCATAGCATGCTCACTGCTCGCTGTTCCTCCCTCCCCCTCCCAATCTGGTCCACAGCCACATGTTTACTCTGCTTGAAGCACCTCTGATCATGGTACTTCCCTTCCATACTCAACTTTCAAAGCTTATTGTTATTAGGGTGACCATATGACCCAGTTTGCCAGGGACAACCTCAATTTATATCTGTTGTCCTAGCATAATTACTAGTAGTGCCACCTTTTACTCTCGAAAGTATCCTAATTAGGGTGATAAGAATTATACGTTCATCTTATTTATTGCTAACTGAATGGATCACAGAGTCCCCACCTTCACAACCTGGCTTCAACCTTCCTTTCCAAATTTGCCAACCACTTCACACATAATCTGAACCCTAACACCTGCCTGATGGGCTTTGATAAACACATCATGATCATCCCTACTTCTAGGCATTTTCTCAAGCTATACCTCTTCCTGTTCTACCTAGCCGGAACTACCTCTAAAAGATTCCCTCTTCTTGTCCATCCATCAAGATCAAGGTTTAAGTTCCATCTTATCAATACAGCTGTAATCTAAACATCTTGTCAAGGATCATCTAGTCTTCCTCTGATTTCCTGATGTCTGTAATATCTGAGTTGGAGAGCAATCAGACAAGTAAGGTCTTGGGACAGGGAAACTATCACAATGCAATCGGTAACAGGAGAGACTTTGGAAAAGTGTGATGTTGGAGAGGAAAGGAATGGTGATGAGGCTCCTGCTGAATAAGTGACTGAAGTACTTGGGGTCTGGGAAACCGCTACTGGGGACTAAACTCAGAAGAATGGAACAGGTTTGTCTGGTTCTCTCAGTCTCATCCTGAATGTCAATGAAGGCCAGTCAAGCCAAAAGATCATTTCTCAGGAACATAGTCCTTACCTCCATAACCACCATGCCTCTCACCCCACACTGCTATCTTTCTCTCTCCAAGTTCAACGTGGATTACCCATAAAAAAAAATGCAACTGCTGACTTTAATAAAATTATATATACATTTCCCAAAATAACATTTAATTCCACATCACAACCTGAGTCACACATTTGGTTTTCAAGAGCAACATTTTCTTAGAAATACAAAACCTTTTCATACTGATGATCCTTGGAGGACCCCTAAAAGATTCCAGGGAGGTAGGGAGGAGAGGAATAACACTGCTCACACTTTGCAGGGAATTGAATTGGGACTCACGGAGGGGAAGCAACCTGCCCAAAGCTTTATGTTTTAAAAACAACAGATAATCATGGCAGTTCAGTTTTAAAAATTCAATAATTTAAATGCAGTGTTTTTTAAATTATTAGATAAAACCCATCCTTTTTGGAACGATGACAAGATTATCTCAGAACACTTCTTAGGATCGCCGGGAAAAATGAATCAAGCATTTCTCAGACCCTGGTGTGGTTTCAACAGAAGTGAATATTTATGGCTTTGAAGCAGACGAAAGGCCTAGAAATCTACTTCTGTAGGATTACAGTCATTGAAAACCGTATGGAGTGGAGTTTCACTCTGGCACACAGAATCAACTCAACGGCAATGAATTTGGCTTATAGCTTTGGAGTTTGAGATTTTTGGTCCAGGTACTTCATGAAATCTTGAACCCATTTCTCCTTGGGATTAGCACAGATTTTTTTGGTCAATTTGGTCTTGAAGCTGTAGGGGAGAGAGAGCACAGTCAGAAGGATTTCCTTTGAGGATTCTGCCCACTTGGCCCTAAATCTTCCAGAACCACTTAGCAGGGGGTGAAGGGGTTGCCACGGAGAGGAGGAAGGGTACAGAGGAAGGATGGGATTCTGACAGATAGCTGTTATTCTTGATGGCCCAGTAAAGCCATCCTTGCTCTTGACTCAAAAGAATTGGTAAGACCTGAACAAGGTCCCAAATAGGGAGCTGAGAGTTAAAATTTTCATACTGTAAAAATTCATCAATTGGACTATAGAGATCAAACGCACTGAGTCTATGACTTCAAGTAACTCTGAAACAGTTTTTGCCCTCTGTCCCCTGGGAATGAATTTTTGGGCTGGGGAGAGTGGGCTTTTTCTACTCACACCACAGCTTTCAGGGGACATTTGCTGCTAGTGATTCTTGTGTAGCTCTCCAGTCTCTGGATGGGGATCTTCCTACTGGCTACATTAAAGCAGCAGATGGTCGAAATGGAAGCTGAATTTGGGGAAAAAACGAACAGAAAGGATTAGCCTCTAATGATCTGTAGATATTTTAAAGCACAACTACATTTGGGAGGGAGGAAGGAAGGAATTTTGAAGAATGCAAAAAAATGTAAGAGGTGGAAGATAAAATCCATCAGTGCTGAAGTCCTGTGTCCCTACATCTGGCTTGGAGTTCTCAGCTGTACAGTGAGGACCCATCACCACTGACAAAGGACGTGGAAAAAGCTTGGTCAGTGTGTTATTAGGAGAGGCTATGTGGCTACGTAATAGTAATAGTACTGTTCACAAAATACTCTCAGTTCTCTGCTTTCTGAGCACATGGTAGAATTGCATTTCTTGGTCATTTCTGGTTGGCTGGAGTCACAGTAGTTTTGACCAAAAAGTGATCAGAGGAAGTGATGCGTATAATTGCCAATGCAAGACCCTCCAGAGCTTTCTTCTCCTTTGTTGCATTAGCCAGCAGTATTCCAGAGGGTGGCTACTCCACTAATCTACAACTGTGACTATGAAAGGCATAAGGCAGACACTAGTCCATGCGTAACAGATATTTAGTGTAAGTGAGAAATTAATCTTTGTAGTTTTAAGCCACTGATAATTGTTCGTGACCACAGCACACACTAGCTTATTCTGAAGGATAAACTCAATGCATTTAAGTCATCAGAGGATGGAAAAATGAATTCTAGTAAAAACATCTAGATATTTTTTCCCAAGGGTATCAGAGTCAAGATGTGTCACCTCAAGAGATTCCCACGGGACCTCATACCCTTTCCCCAGCCACTGTCTCTGAAAGATGTTTTGAAGTCCAGTAAAAATTCAAGGCCTCCAGCCAACAGAATTTTTTTGTCCTCCACCGCTACCAAAAACGTCCACCATGCCCACAGTAAGAGAAGGTCTTTTTTGTGTGTGCCCACTCTAAACACTGCAAGGAGAGCTGGGCCATGGACGCCCTTAGCATCTCTCTCCAAACTCATGTCAGGGAAGGAACTTGTGGACTGGCCTTGGTGGCCTGGGCTTCAGTGGTGTCACTAGTGTTGGTGTCACCCAGTGCGATAACTCGCGGTATTACTCCCCGCCATGGACCTCCTCCCACACCAGACCATACAAAACCCTTAGTAACGGTTCTTCTACTAATGTTACTCATAAATTGTAGTTCTTGTATCTCACTGAGTGTAATGGCAATAGTAGAGACATAAACCACTAGCAAAATTAAAATCACACCTTTAAATTACAATACCATACACACAGCCTAAATGGATTTACATTACATAGTTTCATGTGATTAAAGGGATAAATACAGGTGTAAATTGCTTAAATGTAACATTTCTTAGATTATATGAATACTTACAATAAAATCGTTTGGTAAAATCTCTCTACATTGAATTACACTATAAATAGTTACATTATTAGTAACCGAGTGGAAGCCTTTTTTGATTTTTCTCCTTTTTTTAAATGACTACTTCATTCTCAAAAAAGTTATTGATACAAGTTCACAAATACTCATTGCCACACACAATGTGGTAGCTAAAAAAAACCCAGAAAATCTGACAAAACTGTAAAAACACCTGAAGCAAGAAAACCACCGCACATGCTTCTGGCACCTCAGACAAAACCACGCACTTGGAAGCGTCATTATAATTGGGTAATAATGACAGCTCTGACTGGAGCGCATTAGAAGGTTTCAAAAAGTAAATTAGCACAGAGTTTTAGCCTTGTAGGTATATCGATACATTGTAAGCTGAGCTTACAAAAAATGTTTTTGTTGTTATAACCAACTACAGGGATATTTTTATAAAAAAAGAATAAATTTCTGCTGAAACACTGCAAAAAAAACTTATAGGCAGTCATTTTGGTGTCACCCCCTCTGACAGTGTCTGCATCCCCCGCCACCCCGTAGTGACACCACTGCTAGGCTTCTAGTTCTGGCTTCTTCCACTGACTAGATGTGAGGTTAGGACATCTCCGATTCATTTATGAAATCTGTTTATCCATCTCTAAACTGCAGGGTTTGCAGTGAGGCTCTGAAGATTCTTGCTGATCTGATAGTTAGAGATGATTAACCTCCCCTTAGGGAGGGGGATGGTTTACCTGGCTGAGCAAGCACCTGGGTGTTGAAGGTGGCTGCTGTGAGCAGAAGGCAGAGGAACTCTGCGGAGACCTTCATGTTGGAAGGTGAGGAGAGCTTCAGCTTGAGAACTGGCAGCCCCTGGGTTGTCCTCAGTTCCTCTGCTCCTCTGGCTACTCTGCCTGTTTTTTATAGGAAACAGAGCGCTCCCAGAGATTCTTTTGCCTGGACAGGATCATAGCCAAGAAATTAGGGAGGTCCTTAATTTGCTGAGAAAATTAAAAATCCTAGGGATTCAATAGGGTCTAAGAGAGGCAAAGTGTTTTGTTTGTTTTTTTTAAGAGAGGCGAATAGTTGCTTGGGACTTGACACATTTATCATCAATCCTGGGGATGGAGGGAGGGGGAGAAGAGAATATGTGATTGTGAAATAACTATGAGGGTTGTTCTTGAAAGTTCTGTTTTCTATAAAATAAAACATCCCCAGAGGGGGAAAGAGGCAAGGAAACCCAGGATATAGGGGACATGAGGCAATCTAAGAAACTTCACGTGTTCACATTGCAGTTTCCAGACTTGGAGGCCAGGAAGGGACACCAAAACTGCTGCCAGGCACCCACCGAGGTGCAGAGAGATCTCAGCAGCTCTGAACATTGCTGGGGCTCCGAGAATCCAGGAAATTGCAGCTGCTAACCAAAAGGTCGGTGATTCAAACTCACCAGCTGTTTCATGGGAGAAAAGACCTGGCAATCTGCTCCCTTAAAGATTACAGCCTAGAAAAGATATGAACAGGTGCTTCACCAAAGAAGATATTCAGGTGGCTAACAGACACATGAAGAAATGCTCACTATCACTAGCCATTAGAGAAATGCAGATCAAAACTACAATGAGATATCAACTTACCCCAATAAGGCTAACATTAATCCAAAGGACACAAAGTAATAAATGCTGGAGAGGTTGTAGAGAGACTGGAACACTTATACGCTCTTGGTGAGGATGTAAAATGGTACAACCACTTTGGAAATCGATTTGGCGCTTCCTTAAAAAGCTAGAAATAGAAGTACCATATGATCCAGCTATCCCGCTCCTTGGAATATATCCTAGAGAAACAAGAGCCATCACATGAATAGATATATGCACACCCCTGTTCATTACAGCACTGTTCTCAATAGCAAAAAGATGGAAGCAACCTACGTGCCCATCAATGGAAGAATGGATAAACAAATTATGGTATATCCACACAATGGAATATTACCCAAAGATAAAGAACAATGATGAAGCTGTGAAACATTGTATAACATGGTGGAAGCTGCAACTTATTATGCTGAGTGAATTTAGTCAGTCACAGAAGGACAAATACTGTATAAGACCACTATTATAAGAACTCAAGAAAAGGTTTAAACACAGAAGAAAACATTCTTTGATGGTTATGAGGATGGGGAGGGAGGGTGAGGGTTATTCACTAACTAGATAGTAGATAAGAATCATCTTAGGTGAAGGGAAGGACAGCACACACTACAGGGGAAGTCAGCACAACTGGACTAAACCAAACCTAAGAAGTTTCCTGAATACAATCAAATACTTTGAGAGACAGAATAGCAGGGATAGAGGGTCTGGGGACCATGCTTTCGGGGGACAGCTAGGTCAATTGGCATAACAAAGCTTAGTAAGAAAATGTTCTGCATCCTACTTTGGTGAGTGGCGTCTGGGATCTTAAAAGCTTGCAAATGGCCATCTGAGATGCATCAATTGGTCTCAACCACCTGGAGTAAAGGAGAACGAAGAACACCAAAGACACAAGGAAAGTTATTAGCCCAAGAGACAGAAAGAGCCACATAAACCAGAGATTTCATCAGCCTGAGACCAGAAGAACTAGATGGTGCCCGGCTACCACCAAGGAACGTCCTGACAGGGAACACAACAGAGAGTCCCTGAGGGAGCAGAAGAAGGATGGGGTGCAGAACTCAAATTCTAGTAAGAAGACCAGACTTAATGGTTTGATTGAGACTGGAGGCACCCCGGAAAGTACGGCCCCTGGACTCTCCATTAGCCCAGAACTAAAACGATTTCCGAGGCCAACTCTTCAGACAGGGATTGGACTGGACTTTGGGACATAAAGTGATACTCGTGAAGAATGTGTCTCTTAGTCAAGTAGATACAAGAGACCAAAGGGGCAGCTTCTGTCCAGAGGTGAGATGGGAAGGCAGAGAGAGTTAGGAGCTGGTTGAATGCTCACGGGGAATCAGGGGCGGAAAGGAAGAGTATGCTGTCACAGAATGGGGTGAATAATTAGGGTCTCATAACAATGTATGTAAAAAAAGATTTTGTATGGGAGCTAACTTGAAATGTAAACTTCATTTAATTACAACAATAAAAAAAAAAGAGTTTACTGCCTAGGAAACCATATAGGGCAGTTCTACTCTGTCCTGTAGGGTCACTATGAGTCAGAATTGACTAGACGGCACACAACAGCAAAGGATAGCAGAAATGGATAGTTCCGATCGATCTTAACTTCCTGTGTGTGTTTTAAACTATTTGCTTAGCTGTTAAAGCCTTTTTCCAAATGGAATCAAAAGGTAAAATCCCATATATCAAGTACACTGTAATGGAGCAGGTCTGTTTGAGAAGCAGAAGATGAACGCCCTTGTGCCCTCACCTCTAAGGATTCAAGGAACACATACTGAAAAATAGTGATCTAGTTCACCCTCGCCCCCTGAGCACATATTGCAGACACGGTATGTGATTGCTAAAATATCAATGAGAAAGGGAAGACAAGAACCCACATATATGCTCTTCTTGCATACACTAGGCCCCCAAGTAAGGGAGGGTTCAAGGGGAGGTGAAGTCTTTAACGGGGACCACGGTGGTTAATGGGGGCCACTGTGATGAATGAGGGTCATTGAGTACTGGCATGGAGGCACTGTAATGCCATTTCTTGGCTTTTTCTACACAAGCTCATCTGTGAACTTACATAGCAAATTGATTAATTGGTACTGGTTGCACAGAGAGAAGGACTATGAGGCTTTGCCTTGGGTTAGAAGACAGCATCATGGTTGACCGGTGATGTCTGTCATGGGCATAGGATTAGAGAGTGCCCTTGCTGGTCTACATGGTCTCTAAGCTCCCATCCGGAAGAATTAGTCTGCAATTACTTAAAACATGAATCAGAGACCAGAAAACTTGGGCCACTAAGAATTATGAGAGAAATGTTCTTACCTGCTCAACTTTAGGTGATGTCATCTAGTGTAGACTCTGGAACCAGTCTGCCTGAGTTTGGATAATGGCCCTGCCACTAACTAGCTGTGAAACCCTGGACAACTTACTTAACCACTCTCTGCTAGGTTAAGATGGGGATAAGAGTGATGCCTATTTTAAAGAATTGTTTTGTGATTAAATGAATTAATATATAGGAAGTATTTAGAAGAGTGACCAGATCACACTAGGTGCTCAGTAAGTGCAAGTCGTTAATATTTGTTATTATTAGGAAACGGGGAGGATTTGTGGAACAGGGGATGCTGGAAAGGGATTCAGAATCTGGGCAGATGACTTTTTGCATGTGTTTTCCCTAGAATTCTCCCACTGCTTCCAAGGAAAGACATGCTAGAGATGGTTTTCAGGAATGCCTGTTGTTGCTCAAGGGGACATGCAAGGTCCGAAAAGTTGGGCCAATGCAAAAAATTGAGGGTTCTCTGGACCTCAGAGGTGTTTGGCTGATGCAGCTGAGTGATTATATTGTCTGAGTAAGAATAATTACTTAACTACTAGGAGTTCTTCAGAACTCGCTATCAGCAAGCCACTGTCCACGTTTTTGTTTTCCTCCCAGGGCTTTGGAATTACTCTAAACCAGAGAGATGTCAATAGAAATAAATTAAAGAAATCTTTAGACATCGAAGTTCAGCAGCTGTTCCATCAGCCACCTGGCTGTCTCTACCAAGTGGGAGCAGTATCATTAGCTTTTTCTCTCCCTCTTTCTTGGAAGCTTCTCAATCAGCAATGACCTAGAGCAGATTCAACTACTTGCCTGTGGTTTGGTGTCTGATGAACTGAACGAGGGACCTTGATCAGGAATGACCCTAAACAATGGGCAGGAAATGGGTCCCCCACCATGAAAGCAAAACCTTGGCCTCTTAAGTGCTTCCCAAGGAATGGTGAGTGATTAGTGGAAGAGAATCCTAGGAATCAGGACTCCTGGCTTCATTTTGCAGCTCTGCTCCTGATTTCCTCTGTTGTTGGCAAAGTTTTATAAAGAATTGAAAGAAGCATTCACATTCATTCTATTCCAACCCTGTCTTTTTAAAGAAGAGAGAGCTGAGGCCTGGGGACCAGTGACAAAATCCCTAAAGGCAATTTGGTGTGTTTCAGGCTGAGATGATTCTAGAACCCATGTCTTTTGACTCCCTGACTTCTTGACTTCCTGACTCCCTGACTTGTGAAACCTACTACATTGCAGATGTTAGCCTTTTATGCAAAACAGTTTTCCCTTAAGCAAAACAGTTCGGAGTAGGGTTGGTGACCTCTCTCTTTCTGACGGTCATTGAGATCACATCTGAAGTTTCTTGTTACTTTTGGAAGAAAATTATCCAAAAATATGAGAGTTTAAAAATTCTAACAATATGTCTGGCACATAGCAGGTTCTCACTAAAAATATTGATCTATGTAATCCATGCAAGGCACTTTATTGTTTCATTTCACATGGGTTGACTGATTTAATCTTCCCAACAAACCCATGAGGTAGGTATTCTAATTAAGTCCATTTTAAAAATGAGAAAGCAGAGGCTTAGAGCTGAGATAGTGGGAGATTGGACTAGGGTAGTTAGTTAGTTCAGCAGAGGGTGGGAATGAGGGTTATTATCATTGCTGATGGCAGATGAATCTTGGCTGAAAGCAGAGAATAACAGAAAGATGTTTACCTGCATTTTATTTACTATGCAAAGGCATTCTACATTGTGAATCATAACAAATTATGGATAACATTGTAAAGAATGGGAATCCCAGAACAATTAATTGTGCTCATGAGGAACCTCTGCATAGACAAAGAGGCAGTCATTTGAATAGAACACGGGAATACTACATGGTTTAAAATCAAGAAAGGTGTGTGTCAGGGTTGTATCTTTTTACCACACTTATTCA